TAACTATCTATCTACCATACTATATCATTGCTAATATTGCGAGACGAGCTGATGTGCTGTTAACATTTAATTTGGCTGAAGCAAACATTTACTATAAGTTCAATACTATTACTAACACAATATTGTTTTGACGATAGAATGTTTGAAGAGTTCCCTGAGTTGGCACCAAACCAAACTAAGATTAAGTAGAAATTGTTGAACGGATTTGACTGTGTGACGTCGATGTTGTGACGCTCAGGTAAAATGCACACACTTGTTAGTAGCGGGAGCGTAGACATTTCGAGAGTGTTCACATATGTACCTACCATTCCTGTAATACCTTTACATACTTATTCTCTATTTTAGATTTAAGTATTCACTTTTATACAATCACTCATCACAGCTGTCTGTTTCTAACTCATTTAATATCTCATTGTGACTAACTTCTTTGGTGATTAACATTTCTAGGTTCATCAACTAACGGGCTTCAGCCACAGGCCACACGTTGTTTGGAAGACTAGTGATTTTGTTGTTTTGATTTGGGTAACAAGAAATCACTAATCTCCCTACAAAGTACTGGCTCACTCTTCGGATCAAGATAATCTTCCGTGTTGCTCCTGTACTCTGTAATACTAACATTGTCTATTTTCTTGTGTGCTTTGTGTGTTATTCTTATGTATTTGTATGAAAACATCAATAGTTGTAGTATTTTAGAAAATCTTTATTTCGATTTGAACCGTTAGTACTAACTGTATTTTGTTTCTGTAAAATATAACAACTTACTTTCAAAAGTAATGGGACTAATAGAGATGATGAAAGAGTGTTTTCATTTCATACTAATTTTGCGTATTTTAGTCCCCATAGACACTGTTATTTCTTGTAGATATAACTTTAAATAATTCAATTATCATTTGCTTTATTCTTGCAGTGTGCACGAGAGTAACCCGAATCTCGGTGGTGGTCGCGGGAACTTCTGATTGCGGCCGCGATCGTCAAGTGTGTAATCAATCACATAATTGAAGCTTTACTTTAGTCACCTCAGATCACGTCATTAATTTTATACAGTTTGTATTGCGAGGCTCACATTATTTTATATAAATCTGTACATAGTGACAAAGCCTTACCAGGATAATAATTCGTGAATGAATTTGTAACGTAATTACTTTGATCTTATTTGCTTTTCTATGATTTGGAAGCCTGTGTTCATGAAAATAGAATGCTATATTGTATCTCAAATTTCTTGCAATAACCTATACAATTGCAATGTAGTGTAATATCCTATAATAATATTTCACTGGTCGGGTTTTAGCTATTTAAGAATGCATTTATCATTATTATTAAAATAATATTGTTAAAAGAGTTTAATAAACTGAGATTGTGTCAATGGATTTACCAATTTATTTGTTACATCGATGTATTTTAAGTGATAGAAATAGAAATGGCAAATAAATAGTTTATTTTGTGATTTTATTTTATTTTCTTATTTAGTAACGCTGAACTGATATAGGCACTTGGTTTAACTACTTATACGCAATGGTAGGTATTAGGGAGGCTAGGCGACCAATAACAGCCTCTGTTTAGTATGGGCTCCTGCCTCCTATTAAATTGTTTACAATAAATTATTAACATTTGCTTCAAGATTCTTGAGTCAATCTTTCCTTCTAACTTATACTTATATAAGAGTTTGTTTGAACGCTCAAATCTCTGAAACTACTGGTACGAACTGAATAATTATTTTTGTGTCGGTTAGTGCATTTATCGAGGAAGGCTATAGGCTATACAACATCACGCTACAATCGGTAGGAGTCGAGCAGCGGACGAAACCGTGCAGGCATAGCTAGTTATTAAATATTTGGTAAGATTGAGATTAAAAATAGTTTTAACATAATAGGTATAATGAAGTAAAGCAGAAACATGAACTAATCGTAAAATTGTAATCAGTTACGACGCAGTTAGACTATAACATGTAGGAAATTGATAATTTTGAATGTTATAGGTGAATTACTATCATGAAGCGCCGCGGAAGAGATTAGGGCTTATTTCCAGCAGATCGTGGAGGAGCTAGTGTGATGATGATGATGGAAACTACTTTGGAATTAATATAACAGACACTTGGGTTTAATAGAATTAACGTCTGCTAGCGGCCCGCCTTCCCATAAAATAGTCTTATGTTTTAATGCAGGCCATATTCCATTCATGATCCAAATTTTATCTTGATCCCTTCAGTCGTTTTGACGTGGCTAATTGAGCAGCAAACATACACAAAAACACAGAAACTTTAGCAATTTCAAAATTTAGTAAAATGATCAACAAGGCACGTTAATTATCATAACATCACACCTTTTATCCCCGAATGGATAGGCAGAGGTGCACATTATGCCACTGTATAATGTAACACCCACTTTTCACCAATTATGTTATGAATCCCATGTAATAGGGGGTGAGCCTATTGCCATATACCGGGCACAATTCCAGACTCCGTGCTACTACTGAGAATTTTTAAGAAGCCCAGTAATACTTTTGCCCGACTTGGGAATCCAACCCGATACACCTTACCCGGCAGTCACACTTACGTTAATTAGTTTGAAAATACGTAATGTATCCTGTAGGTTATAGGTGCATGTATAAGAAATGGAGTTTAGTGTATGAAACTACATTTCTTTGAAAATAAATATCAAACTGCCATATTAGTTTTCAATAAAGGTAGGTAATTAATTTTGACAAGACTCAATGTAAGTGCCATAGTTAGAGAGTTTTTGAATTCAATATTTTCTTTTATATCTGCTAGTTTTGTTAATGTAGTGTCACAGAAATAGAGTAGGTATTTTTATTAAGAACTGATACATAGTAATGAGTTTGTATTACTCTTTATCAAGAATATTAGCATTATTCAGCACTAAAATTAACACGGCAATATAAATTGATACATAATATCTAACAATAATAGTCTTGTACAGGATAACTGTTGGTAAATAGTTCAACCTTTTGATTCAGTAAACATTATCCTGTACCAATGTATAGGAAAATATAAGTGGTCTAATAACATTTTTAGTATTGCATACTTTTTCATAATATTAAAAAAATAATAAAATATATGTTTGGAATATGTACTTAAATTATAAATTTTATTAAAAGAATCACATTGGGTTCCCTTACAGTGATATATAAAATTGATTTATAATGTATACCATTACAACTTAAAGCTTTTCCATCAGATCATGTATCAGTCAGTCATCGATTTGAGTGTAATGGGGGAAGGTCAGTTTCTGAATGTTCATGTTTGTCTAAATAAAACATAACATACACAAGAGGTATCACAACACCAAGAATGAGCATACAGCACACTAAATGGAACCATTTCAGTCCAAAGTCGGCTCCGTGGGAAGTCAACTCCTTCACCACAACTGCTTCAACAGATATCTTCTCTTTGCTTGGCAAAAGTTGAGTATCTTCTGTTGCTTGTTCATTCTGCTCAGAGTCCGTGTATGGGACAACAGATGGCGCTAAAGTGCTATTCATAACAACACTGTTGCAATCTATGGAGCACTGTAAATCCTCCTTGGAAGGTGCATTTATTGATACATTATTTTGATTTATAAGTCCATTGAAGTGATTAGTGTTCAGCAGTTCTTGTATACCAGTGTGTGATGTAGTGTTTGATGCTGTAGGCGCAGGATCTGAGGGCTGTGTTGGAATGAGCTCTGTCAGCACAGAGTATGGTGTCACAGGTACCTTTATTGTCCGCCTCGCAAATATTTCATTATCTTTGTGTATATGGTTAATTCGTTTTAACTCTGATATCTGAAATATACGATGAAAGTGTTAATTAGATATATGATAAGATAAATAACAGGAAGTAAATTTATATACTTAATGAAATTCATAAATAGAAACATCTAATTCGATTATGAATAACTGTAAAGACAAAAGCAAACAGTAGTCATATTTGTTTACAATATAGTGTATATGGGTACTCACAGAACAATAGAATCGCAACGCAATTGCTTGTAAGGTGTCTCCTTCTTGGACTTGTGCTTCTATAAAATGCTCTTGGGGTTTTATTCTATGCAGTTGTATCTCACTGTGATCACCGTCGTCTGCTTTCTTCCCCATTGCATAAGCCACCATATCATCGCCGCCTTGCATTGAGCGAGCCCTTCACAAACAAACACCATTGTCAGTAACACGTAAACAACATTACACTTTACTAAACTAGAACCATGTCTTACTACACTTACCTTTGTTTCATGTTCAAATGTAACACTAAGTCTAATAAAATCTACCATGACCTGAATTAGGAATACAAAACTACCTGTCCGTTACCCAGTTTTAATGAATTTTAAGATATAAAAATGTAAAACAGCTGTTGATTCATTCAGTCTTGGACAAAAATTTTGACAACTGCTACATTTCATTTTCAATTTCATGTTATGACGCAAAGGTTAGGGTTGCCAGAAAACATGCCTGTTACAACTTCCATTGTTTTCAATTTCGACTTCCACGGTATTTTTGTGTAATACTTTTTTTTATTTAGCATGTAACATTACAATACAAGGTAATTTCTTATATAAAAAAAACTTAAATAATTCACACTAGACGAAATAAACTTATTTTTAATTCTTGTCTTGTTTGATCAACAGAGAGCGCCACTGTACAAGTGTACATTAATGTGAAAAACCATTTAAACTAACTGGCCCAAAAATCACAAACACTGTACACAGTGTTTGTGATTTTTGATAGGGCTACAGCCCTATTTGCTAATTGAAGAACAAGATGATAGTAACCTTGTAATGGGTTTTTTACCAGGAAAGTGCGACAAAACAGTTAACAGTTTTCCTAATGGTAAGCAATCGTGAGCTAGTAATGGTAACCAAAGCGGCACCACATGAGCGTGGGTGTTAAAAGTGCGTTGCTGACCTGTTGGGGATTCGGAAATTTGGGGATAGGAGTGGGTAAGGATTGAGACTCAAGCACTCTCACTTAGACGGCAAAACGTTTTCCATGGTATCATTGTATGGTAGATGGTGTACCCCGCTGCCGCGCCAGATAGGTGCGTGGCGGGATGAGCTCCGGCGCGATCTCATGGCGGAATGGCAGCAACGACTGTCGCAACCGAGGGCTGGGCTCGCTGCCATCGCAGCGGTAAGTCCCCTCTTTGAGGAGTGGCTTGAGAGACGCTACGGCGTCCTCCCGTCCGCCTCACCCAGGCGGGAGCAGTCATTCGATGATTTTCCCCCCTTAAAAAAAAAAAGGGCTCATATTCTTGAGCAGCATTTTCCTCGACACACAACCAGTTACGTGAGTAAACCGAAAATCTTAATAATTTATAAAATGTAAGATGTTAAATTGTGTTGTTCCCACTTTACTAAACAAATTATTATTCCTGACCGAGTGGTCGTAAGTGTGACCGGGCAAGGGGTCTCAAAGTATTACTGGGTTTTTTAAGAAAACTCAGTAGTAACACGGAGTCTCAAAATGTGTCCGGTATATAGCAATAGGCTAACCCCTTTTTACATGGCACCCATAACTTAAGTAATGAAAAGTGGGTATTACGTTGTACAATGGCATTAAGTGCCGTAATGTGCACCTCTGGCTAGCCCTTCGGGTATAAAAGGCGTAATGTCCTGTTATGTTACTATTTTTCCTTCCAGTAACTCAAACTGGCATGAGCAGAACTCTCAGTTGTCTAGTACAAATATAACGAGGCAGTCAGAAGGCATATATCGCTGTGACGCAGTAAACAAGGCTGGAGCCACACACATAGTGTACAGGGTGACTATAGTCGCCCGGTCTGAGATCCAAGATATTGTAGCGTTCACCAACGGGGAAGGTGTCACGGTTGAAGGGAGCGTGGAAGTTGTGGTAAGGGTACTTACTTTAAGTGACTGCCTCATTGGCCGAGTGGTCGCAAGTACGAGTGCCGGGAGGGGGGTCTTGGGTTTGTTTCCCGGGTAGGACAAGTATTACAGGGTTTTTAAAAAAAACCTCAGTAGTAGTACGGAGTCTGGAAATGCGCCCGGTATATGGCAATAGGCTCACTCCTTATTACATGTGACTTATAACATAAATAGTGAAAAGTGGGTGTTACATTGTACAGTGGCATTAAGGCATTAAGTGCCGCAATGTGCACGTCTGCCTACCCCTTCGGGGATAAAAGGCGTGAAGTTATGTTATTGGTGGTACTTACTTTACTACATGTAGCGCGCGCCTAAACACCCGTGACACCTGAAAAGTCACAAGTACATTGGTATGTCCCTTACTAATATTATACGTAAGATATTAATAGTATTCGATAACTGGGGTTGTGTGTATGTGTGTATGTTTGTATGTTTGTTACTCAATCATGTCAAAACGGCTGAAGGGGTCGAGACAAAATTTGTAGCAGGAATAGATTATGGTCTGAAATAACATATAGACTACTTTTTATCCCACAACAACGCGGGCGAAACCGCGACCAGAAGCTTGTTTTAAATATAGTTTTAAAACAGTGTAGACACTAGTGTAAATAATAGTAGCAAGTACATAGATGTCAACTTAGGCCTACTGTCCAAGTCGCGGAGAACCTAACGGGTTACCGGGGCCCCGGCTCGAAGCGCAAGCGAAGGAACAGGGTGGATTTTAGTCAGTAAGAGTCTGACACTGCCACCCACCCAGGCGGGAGCAGTCATTCGATGCTTTCCCCCCTTAAAAAAAAGGCGTACTGTCCAAATGCATGTAAACTACAATTGACAACAAGCGTTGGCCATCTTACTTATACAAAATGGAAACTGTCCACGAAGCAGCAAAGTTGCGTCACTCACTCCTCACACGAACCCGCCTATCGTCATTAGTAGGTTGCATGTATTCGTCAAATGCCGCGTCGCGGACACTAAGCCTTAATAGAAGACAGGAGTCATGTCCACGTACTAAAAGTACCGGTTTTCTAGCAAGGATCACGTTTACGTGTCACGTGCAAAGCTGCAGGGAATCCGATCCCCGATATACAATGGATACATCAAGGGCTCGTAGTCAGTGAGAATTCATACGACATCGACTATGCAGATTTGATACTTAATGACGTGCAATTGGCTCAAAGTGGTGTCTATACTTGCGTGGCCAGTAACGAAGGTGGTACTCACGAGAAGAAGATCAAAATTGATGTACTTGGTGAGTCATAGACTGATAGATTATAATATTATATAATGTTAAGTCTGTTTTTTCTATTAGTCAATAATTCTATTCTAAGGGACATATGTCCCACGATATTTATCGGCGACATGTCAAGGTCAAGCGAAGCCCGGTGATTTCGCCCGACATATTATAAGGCGACAACGCGCGCCTATTATGTCCACACCGACGTTGATTTTGCCAGACATTTCGTTTCGACCAAAGTCGTGCAACGTCACTCTACTTCACCCATTAGCTTGCGACACGTGTCGCAGGACATTTTTTTTTTTATATATTTGATGGGGCGACGTTTGACCACCATATCGTCTGGTGGTAAGCGATGATGCGGTCTACGATGGGGCACGTCGTCCCATAAGCAACCTATTCACTCAGGCCTTATTTATCCTTAGCTGTATAGTCACCGGGTTTTTCAGATTCAGGAAATTGATCAATCAATTCCCAACGAGTATTATATATTCCCAAATCTATAATATAGAATCAATTCTATAACCTCGTGTACAAACTCTTTTCGTCGATTTGACTAACGGAACTGTATATCGTCAGATTTGGAGATACAGAGTATTTATTTGTGATTCCTTTTAACATTGCTTTTTGTTACTTATTCATAATTATATTTACGTTTTTTTTATAGAGCCACCAAAAATATTCCAAGAATTATTCCAAAATGCAAACGTAACATCGAATGAAGTTCACCTAGAAGTAATATCGGGCCAATCGTTCTACCTCCACTGCCATCCTTATGGAAACCCACAGCCAGAAATCTACTGGTTCAAAGACGATTTACCATTAAAGTTTTTTGATGATGCTATGGTTTCTACGGACTTCGGAGAAGTGGTTGTAGCAAAGAAAGCGGTACAGGAACAGTCGGGAAATTACACTTGTGTCGCTAGAAATAAGGTCGGAAATACAAGCGTGGTTTATTTGGTCGATGTTTTGGGTAAGTGCTGGTACATTATTTTTCAAAGAATATGTTTTCTTTTTTGTGTTAGTGGCAAGGACTCTGTTTATCCGATATTGATTAGTCTTCACAGATCTTCTATTAGTAATTTCGGCCATAAGACATTTTTTTATCATTATTCCCGTTCACTGAACATCATCAACATATTCTACCATTGAACTCGATCTTCATCTGTTCAAATCCACCCATTTTGCGACTATCATTCTTTAGAACTCTAATCTACCTTAGTCGTCTTTGCTTCTCCAACAAAATATCACATTTGTTTTTTTTTTTGTAAATTGAGTAATTTTAGGTTGACAAAATCAATACACATATAAATAAAGGATATTATAGGTATAAATAAATCTAAAGTATTTACTATTAAAATTAACATAAGATTTAGAAAAATAGGATAGGAAAAAAAGAAAAGATTTAATTGTTTCTAATTTCACATTTCAAATATTTGATTAATTAATACTAAAACAACATGTGAATGCTGGAATCGATCCGGTGGCACTTTACTTGACCACTGGAGGCGATAACCATTGCGCCAAGCGCGCCGTAGATGAGAACATCGAAATATTGTATATCATTCAGTAACATAAAAATACAATGAGAATGCACTATATTTATATAAGTATTGTATTGCACGATCGTTCATTATTTTTGATTTCGATTTATTCAAAGTTTGTTATGAGTATTTTTATCTTTACCCTCGTTTTTATTTAAACTTATTTACTAAAATATTACGTATACCGACACAAAAATGATATGTAATACCAAGATGTGTGTGATAGAACGATAGTTTCTAATTTCTATACATATCTATTAATATGAAATTACCCACACATGTTCACTGTGTAAATGATAGTAATGTCGATGTGTAGCGCCTCGAACTAATTAGCGGTGCTTTGTGTACATATGCTCACCAGGTGGCGCTAGTGTGTGTCCCATAGGACATGCATTGGACGTTCAATATTTATCAGCTGCAGCGATTGGAAAATTTGAGGGCTAACGGCTACCATTTTTATGGTCATCAATGGTTTCATTTATTAGAAGGTTACTATTAATATTTATAATTTACTTGAAAGTCTTGCAATATCTCAACAGACCTTAGTTAAAAAAAATTTCAAAACATCCTTTATGAAATAACTCTCATTTCTAGTACCGTCTTTACCATAAGGACAGGGCCCCATCCTCAGGAGGCCTCGAAGGACTGGCAATTTCTGTTCCGCAGCAACCGACTGCCCGGCAACGTGTAGAGAGTGCGATTCCCGCACGAAGCAAATCTTTGTGTGATCCACAAATTGTTGTTTCGGGTCTGGGTGTTTATGTGTATATGAAATTGAAATGTTTGTAAATACACCTACGACACATGAGCAAATCCTAGAAAATCCGAGTGTTGTGAAAATCCTCCAAATTGTTGTGTGCCCAAGGGCCCCAGTGTAGTCTAAGACGGCATGTCGGCGGCATATTTTCTGACGGGGTGGACAAAGCGAGAGTGATCATGAATAAATTATATGATTGACAAATGGGTCATTCATATAATTTCAAACCTAAACAATAATATAAGTTACTAGAACTTCGCGGGCTTTGTACCGCGTGAAAAACTTACTTCCTCCCGCTACAAAGGCTTAGATTATTTATTGGTTAATATTTATTCTTTGGTTAATATTTATTGGTACAGGCTTTGATTTTCTCTATTATAGATTATATTATCAGCATAAGCGATAATAGAGAAAACATTAGCATGTCAGCTACTACGACCTGAATGCAGATCTCCTCAACAAACTTGACCGACTTCTGAATTCATTCGATTCGTTTTTAATCTGCGCAAATATGATCATGTTTCTGCACATCGGCTGTATCTGTAGCTAGCGCCGTATCTGTCGTATTAATTATTATTATACGGGGCCCCCGGACTAAGAGGGCCCCCAACGGACGTAAGCCAAACTTTAAAACTTTCCAGTAACAAAAGTCAAAGTAAACAATATTTTTCTTATAATAACTATCGTGAGATATTCTAAATTAACTAAAAATTGCGGGTTACTCACACGATGCGCGTCATTGCAGCGACCGCGCACGCTGCTTAAGAGGAAGAACCCCTCTAAGGCTCGAAACTGTAGAGCTTTTCTCAAGATATTCATGTGAGTAATCCGCGATTTTTAGTTAATCGTTATCTCACGTAAAGCATGCGTTCAAAAGTTGAAATCATTGTCCGATAATTCGGACAGAGGGAGTTGCCTGGAAAGTTGACCGATTTTCACACAAATTATTACTATTTTTTGCGTAACTTTTTTTTAATATTGTTTTTTGGCTTACTTACGTATTTAACACAATTAGTTTTGCTGAGCACTGTCGTAATATATATTTATTAATAATATATATTTTTTCATCTATAGGTACTCTTTATAAGGACCCCCAAATAAATGTTTATACGGAGCCCCGCCAAGGTACGCTACGCCACTGTTCACGCCGAAACAGTTGCTGAGCCTGTATCAGGTACAGCTTCGGTCTTGTATGGAGTACTGTTCTCATCTTTGGGACGGCTCGGCTAAATATCAGCTGGATGCGTTAGAGCACATTGAGAGGCGTACCAAGAGGCTCATCAATGATGATGCGTTTGAGGTCCGGCTTCAAAACCTCGAACACAGGCGTAAAGTTGCAAGCCTTTCAATTTTTTCTACCGGATACATTTCGGTGAATTGCACAACTTGATTCCCTCTTGTCCTTTCCATCATCGTACCATAATCGGCGAAGTGCCATTTATTCATGGTAGATATCCACACGCACGAATCGCTACGCATCAAGCTTCCTTGTGCGTACTGCTGAGGAGTGGAATTCTTTGCCAGAGTCTGTATTTCCTGAAGGGTATAACCTGGGTGGTCTCGGAATGATGAGATCATCATTCCCGCGTCAACGCTGGTTAGCGTTGATGCTGTATCGCCATCATCTCGCCTGGTGGTTTCAGGCGAGATGGTGGTCACCCTTCGGCCCTCAAATATATTTAAAAAAACTTCATTCATTCTTCCTTTTTCGTACAGGCAATTTCGCTGTGGAATGCGCTTCCCCTGGATGCTAGGATGGTGTCAACTCGTCTAACATTTAAGGTGAATGTACGTAAGATTCTCTTAGTTAGGCTAAGGACTGACGGGGGGATTGCCGCGGTGGCGGAATAGAGGTAAAATTTTCAAAACTCACGAGACGCAGTATTCTGCGGTCCCACAGCCACACCGCGGTTGCGATTATCGGCCGCAAACTTGGCGGTTGATTATCGAAACCTCCCGGTTAAACAATCAGTCGAGTTCCAGATCGGCCATCCCATTGCGATGGCCCGCCAACCGATCGCAGAGGTTGTACTCGTGTGTAGGTTATAATTATATTTATTTATGAAATATAAGTATAAGTGTACTTCTGTTTGTTCAATTAAACGGACTAGTTTTACTCTTGTCATTTTTTTTTTTTTTTTTAAGGGGGGAAAATCATCGAATTTCTGCTCCCGCCTGGGTGAGGCGGGAGGGAGTGTCAGACTCTTACTTTTTTATGGGACAAGCCCGCCACAACCTCCCAAAACCGCTGCAACTCCTGTAAGCCAGGATCTACAGTAGAACGCCTAACGGGTTGCCGGGGCTCCGGCTCAAATAACAGGAGTAGGAACGAGGTGGTTTTAGTTAGTAAGAGTCTGACACTCCCTCTCGCCTAACCCACGGCGGGAAGCCAGTGGATGATTTTCCCCCACAAAAAAAGCTAACAGACATTCTGTTCTTTTATTGACTACAAAACTACAATTTTATTACTACATTGAACGACGAAGGCTTTGCCTTTTTGATGGTAGTCAAACTAAGGGATAATGAAATGATAAATTAATAAATAAAACAATAAAGGTCGTTTTCGATCATTTCGTTATAATTTTAATAACTCCGAGTATTTTACACAACAGTTACAGAACATAAATACCTTTGGTATTGCGCCATAGAGGTGGTAATAATTGCACATAATTAATTTCCTCTAGCTACATTATGTACAAAAAATACATTGATACAAAATCGACATCTTGATCACTAGTTTATAGGTAACATTAGTTTTATGTGAATACATTCATTACAATCGCTATAAAATGGTTATGGGATGTTAGTTCTATGTAGAAGATATATTTAATTATAACATTATAATAGGTACCTTCTTATTACATTTTACAGAATTGCAACAGTTCACTTTTTTTTTAATTGGTAACTTTAGAAATAATGAGATTTATGAGCATTATTTATCGTTTGTGTACCTTTTGTGTAAGGAATAACTTTTTTATATGCTCACTCTTTTTTGCTTCCTCGTGTAAATAAGTGTGAACAGTTATCATTCTGAAAAATCAATGTAAAAGGTTGTCAATATTTTAAGTCAACATTTTATAGGTAAATATTTATCGTGTTAGAAAGACATTATTTTAGAATATTATTTAATTGCTTCATGATGATTTTACATAAAAACAAGTGCATAAAAATTAAGTAAAAAAAGTATCCGGAAAAAAATCACAATAAAATAAAATTATCACAGTAATTATTCACTAAACGTAACTCCATAATATCTTCGAAGCACAATTGACGCTCACTATTATAGATGTTTTTTTTTAATTTCGAGTATTACTATCACAAAAAAACTTACTATAAACATTATAAAACAAAATGTATGATATTTTCAAATAAATTAATGAGATAGAAATAAATTCACAGATGCATCAGACTTAGAAAACATACAACGTAGTCATAAAATGCGTTAAAATGTGCAGCAATTTTGAAAATAACTATCAAATAAAATAATTCATTTATAAATATATAATAATCACACAAAATTAATTAATTAATTTAAAAAAATTCATTAATAAATAGAAAATGGATTTTCAATCATTATTGAGTATGTGATGAAATTACCGCAGCGTTTAAGTTACAGTCGTCGTAGTATAATTCATTTGATTTACAAAATGTTACTATTTACATTTTACATAGCGGCACGGGATTGCATCGTAGCAAAATATTTACAATACCAATTAAATACTGTACAGATTTGTGCCCAAACTTTCATTGGTGACGCTTTCCATAACTAGAATGATTCCACCCTAAAATTATAATTACTTAAAATAATAAAACAAAGAGTATTCATATACTTAAAGTAACGTAAAATGCGCGGTTTAATGCATAGGTACAGAATTTTCAGATACTTTTCATAATGAACTGTATTTGTCGGAGTTTAAGATTGCGAATTGTATGAAACCCTTGAAAAAAAACGCGATAAACTTAATTGATGTTTGTGTAATTATGATAAGAAAAACATTTCACTATGAGAAATATCTGAATAATTGTATTTAGCGCTTAGATGTTGCTTATCGAAAAAAAGAAGTTTCTCGAAAATATACTTAAATACATACGGAATGACTTGTTTTATTCATAAGCTAAGTAATAAGAAAATTGAATTCGCTACTTCTACAAATATGTGCAGTCTTCTAAACAAAGAGGTTCACTATCGTCAAAATGACTACATTTTTTATTTTTTTACAGCCATAGTAGCCATAATTCATTATGAAATGTTTTGTAGTAAAAAATATAGAATTGATTTAATTCAAGCTTTACTTCGTCATTTTCATACATGATGCAAATCGGCACTTAATTGGATTTGATGACAATATTTGAAAATAATATATTAACAAGTAGGTGGACAAAATTTGTGACACTTGGTTGAGGTATAAAAGTAGAAAGCGCGGAAATTATAATAATTATAAGGGCGTTGCATATACATATCACAGGTTGCGTCTAAAGGCAGATATAGATTGTCAACTCAAATCTATATTTGTCTTGAGATACAGTATGTATCGTGGAGGAATCGCAATCACTTGAAATGTGTACTTATTCGCGAAAATAGAAAGATTTTATTTTAACAACCGACTAATAAGTCACTTAATCTTTTCAGTGAGATATTTTAATACGTTTTCCTTATACGGCCGAAATTAAACCTATCTCTATCTAAAACCTGGTTCAGATCGAGTTTTGATATCACTTATACGTAATTTATTTCAGAAATCGATCGTAACGACCTATTTTGGACTGAGATAGGCCATTATTAAATAAAAACTTATGCTAATTTTCGTAAGTACTCATTTCAAAGTTTTCCCAGTTTTCCACTATTCACACTGTAAATACATAATATACATAATACTAGGGTGACAATGGTCAGCGGTTATACATTTATACACTAGGTAATAGCGGCATGTTATCTTAAACCTACGTTATATAACAAAATGTTACATTTTACATTGTTACACATCCACTTCTTAGGAAGAAATACTTTTATCAAGGTCTTTTTGGAATGCTGAAAATTCACTTTTAATACTTTAGTATTAAAGTTGAATATGTAACAATATAAAAATAGTCTAATCTGAAAACGATTGCGATATTATTTTTAACATTTATCAGGAGACCATTATTATACAGGGTACACGAGATCCATAAAAATCTTACGTCTATGGCAAGACTCATCCTCTGACTGTTCTCATGTTGTTTTCTTTTCATCACTATTTGCATTCATTTGTAATCTGATTGTTGAAATTGAATAGTGTTTATTATATTAATAAAAAAAAGATTTAGTAAGAATTAATCTCTCATACTCCCACAGCATTTTTAATTCAACTCGCTTATATCGAAACCATATATCATACGAAAAACCTTTTTTTTATTGAAAAGACTGTAATTTGAGGCTTGACATTAAGAACTTTAGAAACGTGGGGCGTTAATGATTACAATTGATAGCAAATAGTTTTACTCAGAGTGGGACTCGGGTTGCTCTTGACTGGACTTTTTCTGACTCTCACTAGTCTCACTAATATAAAAACTGTAATAAATAGTTTTCTTACCAGCTTTAGCGATTACTCCCTTTCCCACTATGCCTGAGCGCGTAGTAGGCAAGTCTTGGAGGAATCGGACCTCGCGACCTCACGCGTTGTCGAAGCCTTGGAAGTCTCCGGGCCAGTTCTCACGTCGCGCGGCGCGGTCGGAGCCAGTGCACGCGAAGAACGCGTCACCTTCGAAGGGATCTGACTCCCTGGTGAAGATGTTAATGGAGTCAGACTTACGAATATCCCGGTTATTGGAGGGGGGAGGGCGAGGGCGAAGGGGTGGTAGGTCTCCTTCCTCTTCCTCCGCGATGGAAGCTGTTCTAGGTCGAGGCGCGGCTGCGAAGTCGTCCTCGAACATGGAGCGCGGGGATATAGAGTCCGAGTCGAACCGGAACCGCGTGGCACTCTGCTCGCTGTCGCGGGCGCGGGCGCTGCTCACTGATACAGGGGACGCGGTGGCGTCTTCCGGCTCGAAAGCGAATCTGAAACAAACCGTATTAATTAAGTATAATGAAAGTGGATAGTGGAACATCGAACAAACACCATCACAAAACATACCTAGTGCCGTCCAAATTAGAGTAAGGTGCCCTCTTCTTGCCGGTCGGTGTGGGTGTGTCTTGGAAGTCGTTATCAAAAGGTGATGTGTGTTCTCGTTCTCTAGGTGAGAAGTCGTTAGAGAACCGATAGTCTCTGGGCCTGCGTGTGTCGTCTCGCCGGGTGCGACGGCGGGAGTCACGCGGCGGGTCGCGGGCAGCTTCACGGTCACGTTCCCGGGACGATGACCGCCGCGGACCTGAACGACGACCCGACCAGCCTAGCGTCGAACCGTACCTGCGAAGATGGTGGATAAACTGACACTAGATACATAATATTTAAATAAAAAGTTAAAATGTACAAGAGAAATAATTGATTTTCTTGGCTATAATTATATGGTTGAGAGTTAACAAACCTCCTCTCAGCGGAATCTTCACTTTGCCTCAACTCAGCACGACGTCTCGTCTCCCGCCAACCGAGTGACCCGTAATTTCTCTCTGGAAAAATATTATAAAACATTAATACAAAATCATATTCAATACGAGAATTACGTCGTTACAATAAGTAAATGTAATGTAATGATGCAATCTCACTGACCGTCTCTCCTCCAGCGTTGGTCTGGCCACCGGTCTCTGGGCGACGATCTCCCCGACCCGCAGCCGTCACTG